GAGTTAGCACAGTGCCAAGTGCAAATTCTGACGTGACCATACGCACGGTATAAGCGTACGTGATAGATGAATTTGAAACCTTTAGCTTGCATATGTGCAGAGAACAACCCTGCAAAATTTCAGCCTTCCATCGTGTCTGGTTCGCAAAATCGTTTCCCGCCAATGAAATTTGCACTTTTTTTCGGGGATCAATACGCGAGATCTAGGCGCGTATGAGCGAAGATTTTGAAACAGGAGGGTAACACATGAAGCGGGAATATGTCACCAAAATTTTAGTCTTCCAGCTTTTCTCATTGCTGAATTGAAAGTGGGTAACAAAGTTCACTCGCTTCCGAACAAACACACACACACATACACACGAACGACCTCTCAACAACACGCGTTTTTGCTCGCTGTAGCAGCGCTATAGCGCTGCATAGCAAAAACGCACAAAAAGCACATATTAAAAAATAATCAAAAAAGCATGGATGTCTTGATCCATCAGGGCGTATACATTCCTATCCAGCACCAAAACCGGACCTTGGCAGCACGACGACTGTGCCTTTTTTGCCTCTTGCTAAAAACTGAGTGAAAAAACAGCCGTCGCGCTGAGTCACAATCAATGATAATCATTTGACTATGTGTTTAGTTTAACATCAGCAAGCTCAGTAACAGTTTGGTTATTGCTCTGCTTATCGCTGATCCGTTGGTTACTGTTGTTTCGATGAAGTGCGCTCTCCAATTCATTCGGTACGACGGTACTGCTGCTGTTACTCCGGCACATCATTGCGCTTTTCGTAATTTTTTCACAAAACATTTTATGATTGCTCCAGTCCATTTTTTGGCAATTTGAATGGCAATAATATATTTTCTGTAAAATCAAAATACCACAAATATCAAGAATCCTCGGGACAAAAGGTGCAGCATTGATCAAAGCTAGAAATAATTATAGGAACTATGAATTGGTGCTGTTCCAAATGTTCCGAATACATTACATCGTTCGTTTTAAAACAGGCTTCTTTTATGAACTGCTACAAAACTAAAGCTGAAATCTTGAGATCACGCAAAAAATACAAATCTCCCCTAAAAAAATTCATGAAAAAAGCAAAATTCACCTGACAGCAATGCTTTGTTTGAC